GATTCGTTTGCTTTGTCATGGAATTATTTCGTGTGTTTGTATGCACTGGTTTTCGAGGATTTGTGACAAGCCAAACACAGCATCGCATTGCCAGCATTCATTTCATCGCAAATTGAAACAAGTGCAGCTAAGTGCTGGAATACAATGGATTAAAACCCGTCTTACGATTCACTCTATCTCCCTATCTCCCTATCTCTTTCTCTGACTTTAACGAACTATTTTCTCTATATGATATATTTAATTTACTAGATTGCCAGTGCAGTCGAGCGCATGAGAGCGTACACTGTCTGTGAGACGACCGAAACGTTCTATTCTATTCGAAAGAAGGAGCAGAAACAACAACAACAATCGCATGGACTTCCTTTTAAGATTTATAACCGATATTATTTCAAAGAGTAATCCTTTGATGCCGAGTGCGCTTTGGTCGCTGTGCAAAATGGATGAAATATGAAATTAATATAGCATAGAATTGGAATACTATAGAAATTACTATGGATTCTATCGTTCTATTCTTATTTTTCTTCTTTGCAATTCCAATTTTTCAGCGTTGTTTTTCTTTCGGAACTCCTTTCTTTGCTGCTGTCGTCGCTCCTATTAAACAGATGAACAATCAAAAACAAACGACAGAGAATGAAAGACAAATCATAAATTCAACAAATTGAAGAGAGAGAGAGAGAGAGAGAGAGAGAGAGAGAGAGAGAGAGAAATAACTTCGAAAGAGCTGATGGCATCCCTTTCTAAACTTAACACACAGCACGCCAAGCCAACTTCGACTGTGTGTTTTTTTGCTCGTCTTTTTTGCTTTGGCAAAACTTTACTTCAAGGTGGATTAAAGAATATTGCGCTTTTTCTTGGCTGGAAGTGCCATTGTAAAAGAGCATAGACTGCTACTAGGGGCTACTCGTACTTTTATAAATGACAACTTATAACCAATAAATATGATTTCATACAAATATCGCATCAAAATTGTCTAAACACACAAATGTCTACGATTTTAAAACTATGACTGTACTTGGGGCATCCAGGGCCCCCAGCGAACTTTAAAGTTGAATAAAAGTACTAAACAGTGTATAAACCAACCGGAGTTAAGTCTCATTGTATAGATTGAACATTTCTCTACACGAATGACATACACACATATGCATATGTGTGAGTATGTGTAAAATACAGCCTGCCGCGAAACATGTTACGCTGGATTGTTCTTGGGGGACTACAGGGCCCCATGGCTATTTTATATTATAACTGGACTATGATAAGAGATATCGAGACACCAAGTCGTTATCTATTATCAGTTTCGCGGAATGTGCGAGAAACCGCGTTTTTTTCCTTATCATTTTTCACGGAACTGATAAGAGATAACGAAATAATGAATCGGAATAATTTAAGTACTCGACCAGAACTACAACTTTGCCTTGGACATCATCTCGTTATCTCTGATCAGTTCCTTGAAAAATGATAAGGAAAAAAACGCGTTTTTTCGCGGTTTTCTGCGGTTTCTCGCGTATTCCGCGAAACTGATAAAAGATAACGACTTGGTATCTTCGGCAAAGTTGTAGAACAGCTTGAGTACTACAACTTCACTATAGACATCAAGTCGTTATCTCTTATCAATTACGCGAAAAAACGCGAAAAACGCGAGTTTTTGCTTATCATTTTTCGCGAAACCGATAAGAGATAACGACTTGGTGTCTGTGGCAAAGTTGTAGTACTCGCCCTGCTTCACATTTCTGTCGAAGAGGCAAGTCTCTTACTTCTTATCGGCTTCACCAAAACGGGGTGGGAAAATTTCGCGATTTTCGCGTTTTTTCGCGTTTTTCGCGGAACTGATAAGAGATAAGCAATATTTGTTGCAACAAAATTATAGCAAACCTTGAGGATTACAACTTTGCTCCAGACACTAATTTGTTATCTCTTATAACAGTCCAGATTTCATATGAAATACATATGGGGCCCTGGAGGCCCCCAAGAACAGTAATATGTTGCAAATATGAAGAACAGTCATAGTGTTAAAAACTTTTTCACCACTTTTGACCATGAGTGGGTTTTGGTAGATCCTCAGGATCGTTTCGAAGTGCTCCCGGTTCTGGAAATGGATCCTCAGGATGGACCAGGGCACTGTCGGAACCGATCTGATACATCCTGAGGATCCATCAAAACCCACTTCCAGTGTTTTTGAAAAAAAACATGCATGACAAAATGGTCAAAAGTGGTGAAAAAGTGTTTAAAATCGTAGACATTTAGGTGTTTAGACAATTTTGGTGCGATATTTGTATGAAATCATATTTATTGGTTATAAGTTGTCATTTATAAAAGTGCGAGTAGCCCCTAGGATTGCTACGATGTTTATCATCATCCGTAACGAAGTATTCATTACAATTATTGCTTTGAATTTGTATTAAATAGAGAAACAAATTCGAAGAAGAAGAAAAACCCTGCACATCGAGTACTTATCAAATATATTTATGACAACAAACAGAAATTATTGCAAATAATTGCACTGTTTGTTCATTTAAGCGTAATAAAGCGCCGAGAACTTTGTGCACAGAGCAAGTTCAAGCGGAACGAAACATCATATTGCATTTCTGGGATTACGTTAATCAACTTGGAACTAAAAAGTCGGTTTTTCCTGGAAGGTTCTCTCTCTGCACTCTCTTATTTCAGTTGATGTTGATCTCCTCAACTTAAATTCAAACCAATTATTTTCATGGCAGTGCATACATTTTATGTGAACCTTTGAAAATTCCCGTGGTCAGAGCAACCTGCAATTTTATTTCAGATTTATCTCTGATTTAGAAAAACAATATCGGTCTTTTAAAAAAAGGCAACAACAAATAAAAATCAATTGAAACGCATTTATTGAAGCGATAGAAAGTTATTTTCAATGCGAAGAAATTGTGGAAATCAATTTCAATTAAACCTATGTCATGTGTTTATATGGGCTGAAATTGGCTTGCTGCAACTTCAAGATGTGTTCTCTCTCCCGAATCGGTTTTTTAGGTCAATTTCGGGACCTTCGAATGGATAAATTATGTTAGACAGTTGCTACGGTGAATTTCACATTGGCAAACACGCATTTCTTCTGCTCTAACGCGGAATCCAAGACGAGGAAACACAACCGTTCGAAAACAATTCCAACAGCTGGTGCACTAATAGGGAGGCCGGTATCAGGTCAGCAATTCTCAATGCAAACTTTTCTTTGGCACAAACATAAATTCATGGGAAAGAGAAAAAGAAAAATAAAACGACATGAACGAATCTATTCGGAGAAATCCCGTTTCCGTTTGACCACACATGCACGCACACACATAAATAGGGAGAAAAGTTGATACCACATTGTATGTTCGATGTTTTTGGGTGCCTAATAAGCGCTGATATGTTATCTTCGTTCGCCTTCAACGGTGTAATCGTTATCGCAACGGAATGGCAGCCACTGATGTTGCTGCCGCTGCCCCTCTCGGTTATTATTATATTAAACAAGTTGTTCAGTTAAATATTTATATATGCCGTTATCCTTCTGCACGCTAAATACATCTCGCGCTTCCGCAAACGGCAACACCATCAGAAGCAGCAGCAGCAGCAGCAGCAATATCATCTTCACCACGTTATCTGGCTGAATTCATTCTACTTGTGCTCTTTCGGTGGTTGACTTTTTCATTTTTCCACTTGGTATCTTTATTTAGAGATCGCTTATATTATTCCGCAACGTTGTGAATAAATTTCCCGCTCTCTAACCGTTTCGTCGGCACAAAATGTGATGCGTATTATTTGACACGGTAAGAGCGCCCCCACGACTTCTATCTCGATCCCAAACGAGTGAAAAACAGACACACACACACAGCAGCAGCAGCAGCAGCAACAGCAACAGCAAAGCAGCATATCCACATAGAGCGCGCGCGGTGAATCCAAAAATCCAAATCCAAACATTCACCGACCTTAAAATTCGTTAAAGTATGAGCAAAAGAGCTGACGAAAAATGGTGGCGAAGCGAAAGAAAGCAGCTGCAAAAGCGGAAGAAATGTAACAGACGTGCATATTTTCAGGCCGTTTGCTCTCTCTCTCTCTCTCTCTCTGTGTGTGTGTATTGTGTGCTTGGTTTGTTGGCTAAGCTTCTGACTGCTGGCAATGGCATGCCGCCCTCACACCGCATATATCATTCCCGATGGCAGCGAAGGAAAAAAAAGTGAGGCGAAGGCATAGGGGTATAGCAACGACCATAAAATATATGTATTTCATCAAGTTTATCAAGCTCTTTCCAAGTTTATGCATAGTGTCGAACTTTTGTTCAAGCTCTACCACCTAAATGTATAGTAAAATAATTTACGGGCACGACGTTAGATGGCGTTTTTTCTGGTCAGAAAAGTTACAATATCCCTTTGGGCGAAGGCGAGCAGAAGCAAGAGATAGAGATAAAAACGCACACACACACAATATCCTCATTGTACTTGGTTATTTTGGTGCTACTAATTTTCACATCCGACCAACCGACCGACCGACAGACCGACTGATTCCCGAATAGAGAGAGAACGACCTCAATGGAAAATTTATTTCATTTTTATTCGCTTTTGGCTTTATGTCTTGGCGTTTTCCAGCTTTTGAAACATTTATTGTTGTTATCAGCGGTACAGGCGGCTCATTCGAGACGCGCGCGTATACAATATGTGGTGGAGGGGATAAGGCAAAGAAAATAACAAGGCAAGCCGCATATTTTATCCTCTTAAAAATGTTAACCAGTCCGAAAGCCTTCTTTGTAAATTTAATATGAACATGATCAATAAATTCATGCTTTGTACTGGACCGAACCCCAAAACGCCCGTTGGCATACAGCCACAATAAATTTTGTGAATTCCGCTCGGTTTGTTCACTTGCTCGCTCATCCGTTGCTTGCTCGCTGCGGCTTTTCCACGCGCATTTTTCGCCGGTTATATTTTTAATACTTTCGCCTTTCCCATTTCCACATAAAAGAATCCTCATTTTCATTTTCATTATCGACTTCATTGCAGGCAATCTGATTCAGCACTAAGTCAAAAATATAGCATTGCAACGTAATCTCAGATTAAATTGAAGCTATCACACGGTTGTGCGCTGAGGTGGAGAAACAACAACACACATCCACTTCATTCATTGAATCTGTTGAATTTCAAAGGTAAGTTACAAAAAACATTTCACGAAAACCCATGTATCTTTCGAATGCAAACAGGCAATTGGCAAAAAGGAAATTTTTCGGCATTTTTTTCGTTTCCGATTTGTTGTGGTTGTGATTATTGTTGTTTTACAAAGCGATTATAATTCGGTCGTAGAAAAGTGGAAATTACGACCGGTTTGATGCTTATTTCGCGAACTCAAATATTGACTTGAGATAATCTACGACACAAAAATAGTGTTAAAAGCCTCCGCTGAGAGAGGCAGAGAGGAAATGAAAGCGTTTCGAAACGAACACGTGGAAGATTATTTTTCATTTTGCGTATTCGACTGTGTCGTAGGTAATCAGTAGCGATGATGACATAATATTGAATTAGGGTGGGGTAAAATGGCGGCTCCAACAAAGGGTTTTGATAACATTGTACGGAAATAGTTTGGCTTTTGTGTGCCGAACAACAAAGTGCATGCATGCACCAATGCTGCTGCTGTTGTTACTGCCACTCTGATCGGAAGTATCAAAGCGCCTTGCTATTTATTTTCTTTGTACTCACTTCCTTCATTCGTTTCAATCTCTCTATCTGGCCGTCCTATTTCGCCTTGCGATCGTGTGACTAACGACAAAGTTGGCGTATGTAATGCGCACACGATCCAAATGCAGTTTACAGTTTTTACTTCCTTTCACTCAAAGAATGTGCAACGACGATAATTCGTGTGTTTGTCCTTCGTTTGCCTTTAATCGTATCGGGTGCTGTGTGTGTGTGCGCTCGCGTATGCTTTGCATCAGCATTACATGCTGACGGAACGGAAAAGAGCCAAGAGGACGGGTGAAAAGGCAGAGACAAAGAGAGAACATGTGTGAGCGCCTGGCAAACATATTTCTTGTTAAAATAAATTCAATAAATTTTCCATTTTCTTTGAATGATCCGGGGACAAAAGGGGCGAAAATCGAAAAAGAATTGAACTTGAAGTGTGTGTATATGTAGTGAGCAAGAGTAGTTTGTGTGTGTGTGTGTGCGCGCAGGCAGTAAACATGTCGAATGAAGAGAGAACGTTAAAGTGGTTTTGGCATTTCTTACATGAAAAAATGTCCCCAAAATGAAATCCGAAATTGAGTTGATTCGCATGCAATCACTTTGAAGACTTTGCTTTTTTTTCACTTGCTCGCTCGCTCTCCCTGTCTTTCTCTCGCTTCCTCCATTCCCTCGTTTTTTCGTTCTCTATCGCGCTCTGTGAACGACTCTTTCACTCTGCATTCAGTCACCCAGATGCAAAAAGCGAGAGAAGAACGTGTTTATTTCAGATTGAAAATTTACCTTTGTTAGCAGATTTGTGTGTGTGTGTGTGTATGTGTCTCGCACAGCTGAGCCAATAAAAGGACGTCTTTATGTTGGGAAATTCGTGATGCATTTGCGATACGTCAGCGCATGAGTAATCGAAATGAAATTAAATAAATAAAATAGATGACAATATATTGTTACTCATTCGATTGAGGGAAAATTCTTGAAACGAACAAAAGAAGAAAAAAAGCAGCTTTTACACAGAAATTTTCCTAATTTTCGAGTAGTTTAAGCATTTTTCTATAAACGAGCTCGTTTCGAGAGTAGAACGGAGCAGCGTTTGGTTAAGATATCTATCTTAGATAAGATATTAAGATAAGATAAGATAGATAGTATCTATTATCTTATCTAGATAATTTTTCAAAAATGTCGAAAATCTTATCTATTATCTTTTCAGTTTTTTTTTCAACTATCTATCTGTCGTTTTTTAGATAAAAATTAAGATATTCATCAAGTAATTAATTATTGTATCAGAGATTCGATCGATACCAAATGATGATTCACACTACAAATTTGTCCTACTTGTTACAAAAATATACACATCCCATTTATAGAAAAAAAATACACTTCAAAATCAGGGCAAATCACGTAAATCTTCCAACTGAAATTTTTTGTTGATTGGGATATTTTTCAAAAATTAAAGTTTTTTGGCCAATTTTCGTGCATTTTTCATAGAACAAAAAAAATTGGAAAAAATTCATCAAATTGACATATGAATAAAGAATGATATATTTCCAAAAAGATTATCTTAAGATAGCTCAAAGATATCTATCTTTTTCGGAAAAAAGATTAAAAAAAAGATAAATTTAAAAAAGATATCTAGATAGATTTGGACATTTTTGAGATTATCTCGTTTTTATCTAGATATTTTTTCTGGGACAGAACCAAACGCTGGAACGGAGAGAAAATGGCATTCATTCGCTATTAAGTGGAAAAAAATTCGTTCGAGTTTGGAATCTGTGCTATTTCTATTTTTCTCTCTCTTCATATCGCGTATACTTTTCGCTGAATGCAAATGAACGCACAAAAACTTCGCTCATTTATGAAGGAAAATTCCATAAAATTTCGTCATTTCAATTCGTTTGCGCAAGCAAGGATTTTCAATGGTTAACTATGCATTAAATAAATATGCATAGAGATAACGTTCAACATTCTATCGCTCTCTCTCTCTCTCTCTCTCTCTCTCTCTCTCTCTCTATACCACCCGCTATCTATATGTCCCTTGCTCCATCCACATCTGACGAACAGCATTCAATTATGAGTTGACAACGAATTTACTCCTTTTGTCATTTAATATGCTTAAAATTCGTCTATTTCGTATGCTGTCATCGTCATCGTCGTTGTCGTCATCGTCATAGTTCGTTGCCAGGGAGTTTCCGTTGTTATCCGCATTCGGCATCTTCTGCCACCAATCGTCATACCAATTTCGAATCCGTTCCTTATTTATGTCATTTGCATTCTGCAATAACTAATGATGAAAAAGCTGTAGCCGAGATGATGCACCATCGCCTCCATCATCTGCTACAACTACTGAAATGAGTGTGTTAGAGAGAGAATGGCTCACAGTTCTTAATGCATTTAATGCAAATGCTCAAATAAATTTCTGTTCTTGCAATTAATTAGAAAAGTTTTTCGTACAAAAATTATGAAAACACTTAAAAATACTTGCCGCGTTTCTTTTTTCTTCGTATTTTTTCTTCTCAATTCAGCTGCCACACGGTGCATAGTGAGCAATGCTCGAGTGTGCCGAGCGCAACGCAAATTTGTTGTAGTCATTCTAATTTGTTTGTGTGTGCGTCGTAGTTTCAATGACAATTCATTCTGGTTCATTTCGTGGATAGGTTTTTTTATGACCCCCCAAATGCAGCTGCCTTTGTATTCGCTCATCCGGTTCGCAATTGTACTTACTGTTACCGAAAGATAAGCCGTTTTCTTTCCTCTGGTTTTTTCGGCCACACTTTTCTCCCAACCGAAAATGGATGTTGGTTTTCTACTTTTCATTTTTTTCACTTAATTTTGCCCATTGAAATTACTGACGGGAATGCGAAGAAAAAAGAATTACGCTCTTGTTACCACTGTTTTTTGCCGCTTTAACTTCATTATAAAAGTTTTACATGGATTGAAAAGAGTGTGTTCTTTTTAAATTCTCGACCGATTCGGCGCACGAGAATGACAAAAAAGGGGACAAAATGCAATGCCAAATTATTATTCGATGGGAACTTTTTGATATTTGAGAATGTCGCTTTGGGTGAACGGGTAAAATAGAGAGAGAGGGGGGAGAAAATGCTGCATTTTTACCTGATACATTTGATGATGTACAAATTGACCTGGATGTCAATGCTTTTAATTTGGAATTTCACCAAATGTCATGATGTTGACGATGGGGAGAATCACTTTGTGCGCTTTGAAAGGCGAGTAAAACTGTCATTATGAATGTGCATTTTCATCGTGACAAAAAATAAACGAGAGCAGCAAAAAAGGTGTTCAATTCATCTTTAACAATGAATCATTTTCCAGTCGATTGATTAAACATCATATCACAGTGAGCACCAGTACTTAGCCCGATTATGTCACACTGCGTCAAAATTAAAATATTAAATTCAACATTATTTGCCATTAGAGAGATAAATTTTTATAAAAGTGGATTGCTATTAAAAGCGCTGTGTCGGGAAAAAAACACAATCACGATTTTTGAATGAAAACAATAGGCAACACTAAAATGTATGCTGATTTTGTCGGTATGATAGCATTCATTTGATTATTTTTCATGTGTGCGCGTCGTAGGTGTCACGCGTGTGTGCATATAGGGGGACAAATGTGCATATTATTAAATGAAAATTGTTTTAATCGAATTCAATTAGAAGCGCATGTGAATGTGTGTATTATTGGTTGGTATCAGAAAAAAGGGACACTGAAAAATGGCAGAGATTTTGTACTGATTGCGGTACGATGACCACAACACTCTACTTGTCTATGCTTACTTTGTTGTATCAATTGGAATATGTTGCGCAACAGAGGCGCAGATGAAAACGGTGTTCATTTAATTGATTAATGCGGATTAATCGAATTTTAAATTGCTTTATTCGTGTTTGTACAACAAATTAACGATATGAAATTTTATCAAAATCGGGTGGACACAGAGTGCAATTTGCCGAGTCCGAAAAAACCACATTAAGCTAAATATTTTATTTGCATTTTACCCATCAAATGGTCGATTCGTAGTGCTCAATTTGTTTCGATTGGAAATCGAATTTCGAAATTACTCCGAATGAAAGAGAGGAAGAAAACTGTCATCGAAAATTCACATTTGATGATGAAAATCATGAATTTTCGTTGTTGTTTTTAAATATACTGATCGAATCATATACGCGTGGTTAAATGCATTGAAAATTCAGCTCACGACCTTATTACCACGGAATAGTACGAAAAATCTCGAATCATTACTGCGGGTTATAACAATTATTATGCTCATTTAACTGTTTCGGTGTTAATGGGGCAAAGATAATATTCGACGACAGGCATCCGCAGTTGCATATTGCATTTCGGTTATGAGTTTTATGCTTCGGTGATTTTCATTTTCATGCTTCAAGTAGTTGCGCTGTTGCCGTTGCTGCTACCACCGCTGCTATGCTGCATTCCTTGGTCGCACATTGTGCTGTCCCAAAGA